GAGTAGCAATACATCACAGCGGGAATTTAGCAACATCTGAGGCCGACTTCCTCCATGCCAGCCATACAGCGTTGTTGGCATAGCAATGTGGTAGAAACAAACCTATCATCATTTGAACTGTTCACAACAAAAAATAAATAAATGTAATAATAATAATACGATAAAAAAAACCTCAGTTCATTTTAAGTCAAGGGTACATAATAAAACATACGTGTTACATCTTCCTATTTTATTCATCACAACCAATAGAGTTTAATACAATGTTATGAAATATAAACACGTTTTATAAGTCAGTTTAATAATTCAAAACCAAACACAATGTATATTTATTTTTTCACTTTATATACTATTAAACTTTAATACATTCTTTTACACGTTGTTTTCTATAGGACTTCTACAATATCGTGAAAATTAGGTTGTGTAATGCTACACACACAGGCAGGGGAGGGGGGTGGGGTGGAATAAAATTAGATAAAATATCCTTCTATCTATCTACTTCGCCGTGCTTGTTTGTTTGTTTGTTTTTGAATTTCGCGCAAAGCTACACGAGGGCTATCTACGCTAGCCGTCCCTAATTTAGCAGTGTAAGACTAGAGGGAAGGCAGCTAGTCATTACCACCTACAGCGAACACTTGGGCTAATCTTTTACCAACGAATAGTGGGATTGACCATAACCTTATAACGCCCCTATAGCTGAAAGGGCGAGCATGTTTTGGTGGGACGGGGATTCGAACCCGCAGATTGCGAGTCGAGTGCCCTAACCACCTGGCCATGCCGGGCCCTACTTCGCCGTGTATGCAAATATATCATAATGTCTCAATCTGAATAATAATGGGAAAATACACGTAATTAAATGTCATCAATTGAAAACAAAATTCATTCTTAATTTCTTTCTCGTCCTTTTTTTTTCTTCGTGTTTTTATAACGGTACACTTACTCTTCAGCAATTTACTGTCTAATAACTTCCGACTCGACTAAGGAAATAACTTCCGACTCGACTTCCTTAGTCTCTTTTCCCATTAATCTACGTTGTCATAGGCTGCTATAATTCACTTTGCTAAAGTGAGAAAATCCGTAAATCTGTCTAGATTTTTTTTTTATTCTTCATTGCTAAACTCGTCTAAAGGATCTTTGCGATAGTCTATTTGAAATTAATACTTTACGTTGAAGGTGTTCCCATTGGCGAAAACATCCTAGTGAATTTATCCAACCAATTAACATGGGCAGATATACGACAGGAATCGTTTGTTTAAATGATTAGATACTTATAAGGATTTCACCTTTATCTAAAGAATGGCAAATCTCGGTTGCATTATTTGTATATGACATTCCTACATTGCAATACGTTGTGAGTGAATATATTTAATAACGTAAGACACGTCAATCAATGTGGCTACTTACTGCTTATAGAAAGGAACAATATTTCTTTTTCTTATTATCATAACACGTTAAAGAGTTACGGAACACTTTACAGAAATTTGTTTATGACAATTGTAACAAAACAAAGTGCTTTACCGTCAGTCACACTTAAAATGATAGGACTACATAACTTAGTCGTTTTCATGCAATATATTTTTTTGGCACGTGTGTAATTTGGAGACTGGAAACAATCTCATTTTTATAGAATTGTGTGTAAAATAATCGTTGTTTTTTAAGAACTGTTAGTCGCGTTTAGTTAAAGTGTGTTCAGATGTGCTTGAATTTGTTTTCTCACGCGCAGTCTTAGGATAGAAAAGACATACTGTGTAAACAAGAATACATTTAACTTGATCAACAATATTCGTTTTATAATTTGTTTTATTTTCAAACTCAAAAACAATAAGAAACCTGTATTTACTGACATATGCTTGCTTCTGAACATCCCATGTTAGCTGTTCCTGTACTTACTGACATACGCTTGCTTCTGAACATCCCATGTTAGCTGTTCCTGTACTTACTAACATAAGCTTGCTTCTGAACATCCCATGTTAGCTGTTCCTGTAGTTACTGACATACGCTTGCTTCTGAACATCCCATGTTAGCTGTTCCTGTACTTACTGACATACGCTTGCTTCTGAACATCCCATGTTAGCTGTTCCTGTACTTACTGACATACGCTTGATTCTGAACATCCCATGTTAGCTGTTCCTGTAGTTACTGACATACGCTTGCTTCTGAACATCCCATGCTAGCTGTTCCTGTACTTACTGACATACAGCATCCGCGCCAAATCTTCAGCTACTCTTATTTGACCAAAAGTGAGGATCTGACCGTTGCTCTTATAATACACCCACGGGGCACGTTTTTGCAGCAATGGAGCAGGAACCATAAATCTTGTGATTTACAATCCAGGCATGCTAGCCTCTAAGACACGCCCGGCACTAGCTATTTATGAATCTTTGGCTTGAACAAATAGTCCCATATGGCGTTGTTTATAATACCAGATGTAAAAACTTCATATTTTCAAAAACCCTCGTTTTTTTATGAAGATCTTAAGTTGTTTTTAAAAACTACTTGTATAAAACTTTGTTTTTAAAAACTACTTGTATAAAACTTTCGAAATCAAAACAAAGACGGGAAACAGTTGTTTTTTTTAAGGTAAACTTCACATTCATACTTGGCATTGTTGGTTTATCTATATATTAATGTACCTAAAAACAGAAGTTGGTGGTCTTGCTAATGTTGCACAGTAAAAATAAAATAAAATTAACATATTTGAGATGACCATAAAAGTGGAACCACTAATGATAAACATTTCATCAGTTTATCAGCGATAGTATATAATAGCTAGAAAAATACATAATAGCCTTTTAATTAGCCAGGGAAGGTGCTAGCTTTGATTAAACAAGGCGTATCTAAACTAAAATGTAAATCCTTAGTGCCAAATTCACGAGTTTTAGAAACACGTGTTTAGGATTGCATACATCATTATCTCAGTCTGGGTATCATTTTACTGTATAAGAGCCTTCGTATGAACAGAATAAGACCACAGCTTGATCAAACAAGCCCAGCTGCGACTTCATTACTCACAATCTGATGTCAAACTGTTAGTGCGTTTATATAATAAGAGTACGTCCATATACGTGTTGCTCAATATTAGCCAATCATTTTGTACTCTCCGCCATTTTGTGAACTCGTAGTAACAAACCAAGACAACTATTGTTTTGTGTATTCAAAATAACGTAGTAAACTTGTGACTAATAAAACATAATTATCAAATTATATGTAAAGGTATTATCGTAAAATTAATCACATTAGTTATAATATATTCTTTAAAATCTTGAGCCAATATTGAAAGATAAAATACGAATGATTATGGATGTGAAAAGAATGGTGTTATAAATGTCTGTATACACGCTTGTAGTATTTCAGTTGACACTAATGTGTCACCAATAGATACTTTTTAGCGATTGATTGATATAATTACGCCAATTACACGTGTTCTTTATTGTATATATATACATATATTTGACATAAGCGTTTGAATTTAGAACCGTTTTATGTGTTTAAAGACTTTTCAGCTTATCAACGATCTTTGACTGTCGTTTTATTACTTTGTCTGGAGGCCACATGAGGCTGTACGTTTTCTATTTATTTTTTATATGTTTGCCTTATGTTTTTTTCTTTACTAATTATTCTACGTCTTCATAATATTTTAATGTGTGTTGTTATTGTTTTTGTCTGTTCGGAACTATGCTGGCTAAGGAGTAAAGTGAATTATAATCACCTAAGCTTCTTGTAAAAAGGCTACTTATAGGAAAAGTAACCTTCAGTTTCTTTCGGCCACTAGGAGGCTTTTTAACCCTAGGATTACCGATGGGGTCCATCTGCTTTTTAAATACATTTTCTCTAAACTGCTTATGCACCAGATTTCTTGTGGACCCATAAGTTGGTTGCCATTTTCCGCACACTGTGCAAAATCCTATCTTTATATGTTAAATTTTGAAAATGATCTCTGAACCCCCAAATCACTGACTTCTTTTTATACAATGTGTGGAGTCTACATATTGTATCATATTGAGTAATTTCATGTTTTAGCATGTTACAGCACCCAGTCTAAAGAAATGACCAAAACTACTGGGGGGAATCACCCATTTTTAATGTAAAGATACATAGGGAATCCTAGTAGTAGTAATTAGTGGGATTAATTGCAATTGATTGTATATATGTGTTTAACCTTTTTGTTTTGTGATACATATATTATTAGGGACCCTTTGCCCTCAGGTCCCTTTTTTGTGATCCTCTCTTGCTTTTATAATAAACACACAGAGATTTTTTCTCCGAGAATCATAACATTTATTTAAACGACTTCGACGTAACCAGATCTATTGTTAAATATTTTAGACCATTTATATATATATATATACAACAGTGTGCTAAAAGCTACCATCAGAATCTTTTAAGTACCCAATCAAAGCAGTTCTTACAAACATAACTGTATTTTGCTATGTACTAAATTAAGGTAGCTTTTACAAATATTGCTGTATTTTGTTAAGTACTAAATCAAAGTAGCTTTTACAAATATTGCTGTATTTTGTTAAGTACTAAATCAAAGTAGCTTTTACAAATATTGCTGTATTTTGTTAAGTACTAACTCATAGCAGTTCTTACAAACACTGCTGTATTTTGTTAAGTACACAATCAAAGTAGCTTTCACAAACAGAGCTGTTACAAAGGAAATATATATACTTTTCATCATGGTTGAATGCAACACTCAACTTACAAAGAGATGAATTTTTATATAGCGTTCATTCTTGATATTAGTGTAATCATTTGCATTCTGTACAACACACTAATGTTTAACCTCAAGGCTAAAAACCATGAAAAAAAGAACCCTTTAAAAATGAGACAGCATGAATGCACATCGAGAACATGAAACACGTAGATTTTATAAAAGCGTAAAAATAACAGCTCGTTTAATTATTTATTTCAGTAATAAGAGATTTTCCGATGAAACTTTATTTATGTAAATAAATGAATGGCTATTCACATTTATTTTAAAACATGTATGCAATTATCTATTGGTTAATGGGCTTACATAATGCATTATACACATTCTGGCTTAGCCCAACACTTAATTTATCTTACCAATTCTTTTTTTTTTTTACCATTTTCATATTCTGATTAATGAGTTATAAATTATGTATGAACAATCATTGTTACTCAATATCGGATGTTTTTGTTTTGTACCAATAAATATATTAGTGTTTAGAAAGTAGTTGATCTAGCTGACAAGTTATTCTACAAATTCGTAAACAATAATACGTTCTAAACTTACATTTTACTTGAAGAAAGCTCTACTAGAACGTTACAAGTGAGAATTTGAACGAACGAAAAAACCCATATAAGTGTATATGATGATAAACGCTCTCTAGAACATATTAAACTTTAGCTGTAACAAGATGTTGTTGGTTTTCTAGCGCAAACCTACACTATGAGCTATTAGTATCTGTGCTCTCTTCACCGTGAGAAATCGAACCCCAGATTTTAGCATGCTTAGTCCGACAACTTACCGCTGACCTTACCGGGGGACAGCTGTAACAATGCAAATAATTTTGTAAAATGGATGAAACTCCCCATACCAAATTGTGATAACAAGTGTCTCAAAAAATAAATATTGTCTCTAGTTTATACAAGCATAATCACTGCTGTCTAGAACTTATGTAAACGCAAAACTTATATATTTGTATAGAACTGTTGTTCTACTGGTCTTGTAAACATTCTAATACTTAACCCTTAAACAGTAACTTTATTAAATGTATATATATTTTACTCTAAATGAATAACTAAAGAACATTCATAATTATTACAGAAAGTTAATAATGGTATATCTAAAAAGAAAGCAAATGAGGTTAGTTAAGTTACGAGTAAAGAATGAACGAAATTTAATTTATCGCATACATAGATTTATTATAGTTGTTAAGGGCAAATAATCTTTATTCTTATTTCATAAATGTATACCAATGTAAAAATTTAAACCTAAAATGATATTCAAAATTTCTGTAGTACCGTACAATTATCATATTTTTCCATGAATGAAAACTAAATATATATATATATATTTAATTATGTTGTATGTTTATTTTCTTGAGAAGGAAATAACATCTCAATTTCACATCTCACATAACATGATGTTGGGCTGAGATACGTTTAAAATTAGCACAGCCTATTTAACGGGATCATGTTAAAAACACAAGATAGTAATATATCCATTACCTTTCACTTTGTTTTTTTATGGACTACAGGAGTCTTTTGACATAAAAAAAGCAATTTAGTTAGCATTTATTCAATCTCTATGCCCAAAGCAGTCAGTGAAAGTTAATATTCGATTGATAATTATCCAATACTTTTGCTGTGTTCAGAATTTAACCGTTTTTAAGTTAACTTCTGTAAAAGAAAAGAAAAAAAAAACATCTCTAATAACACGTCTAAAATCAGCAAACGACGTTACTAATTAATTATCCGTGATACAAACTTAATTTTCAATTAACTGTAAACGTGTTTCTATATACAGCGGAGCTAGAATGTGAGAAAGTATATTGGGAAAAGAATCAGTATCACACAGATGGACTTTATTATATATTACATTGAGTATGTATCTGAAAAGATTTTCAATACGAGAAAACAAACATTTTAAAGTTGAATGCAACTGACAGAATATACATCGCCAACTTTATGCCATATGTACAGCACTCAAGTTTATATACATTAAAGACTTATGTTACACCACTTAATGAAAAAAGGAAACACTAATAATAATATAATACATTGTACACCCTTTTCTTTTCTTTTTTTAAGATTCGCTACTACGAGAAACCTTTTCTATAACCTGTCCAGTTTCTTACTGATCATAAAGTACAATGTATTAGACTTAGACCACAGCTAACACAGAAGTGATTGGTTTCACTATCACACATACAGTTGTAATACAAAATACTTCTTAAAAAGGCATAACACCAAAAATTCCATTTGTTCGTAAAAAGAGATTTCTTTTTTAGGATATAACACTTTTCTATGATATAGTTTAAAGAATGTCTCAAAATAATGTCCAGGTCTCTCTAGACATAGGCTTCGTGGCCGAAAATTCGATGATAAAAGTTTCGCCAGGAGTTACAAGTTTTTCCTGACCATATCCAGAAGCCAGAAGTTATGCCCACAACTAAAGTCATCAGGTATTTGATCATAAAAACAGCAAAATCTGGTTTAGGCCAGTATCCATATGCTTTCAACGAGTCCTTTGAGGGGCACGGGATACTATACTGAGGTTTCTGACAATTTTCATGTTGCCATGAAAACATCCAAGACTCAAAGTAAGTCTGCTCGTAAAAGTAGCAGGCTAAAACTATGATGGCAGGTACAGTGTAGAGCACCGAGAAGATCCCAATACGGATCATTAATTTTTCAAGCTTATCTGTCTTCGTTCCATCATGCTTCATAACAGTACGGATACGACATAAAGAAACAAAACCTGTCAACAAGAAAACTGATCCTAATCCTAAGTAGAAAAACAAAGGGGCCAAAACAAAGCCTCTCAGTGCCTCGACATCCCAAAGCCCCACATAACAAACACCACTTAAAATGTCTCCTTCCACTTTAGCCATGGCGAGAACGGTAATAGTTTTGATGGCAGGAATCGTCCATGCTGCTACATGAAAGTAATGTGAATTCTTCTCAATGGCTTCGTGACCCCACTTTAGACCTGCTGACAGAAACCAGGTGAGAGTCAGAATCACCCACCAAATGGAGCTGGCCATACTAAAGAAATACAACATCATAAACAGTATAGTGCAGCTTTCTTTTTTATTACCTTGAGTGATCGTACTAATCATCTTGACTCCAGACTTTGTTTCTGGTGGGTCAAAGGGTTTGTTACACGCTACCTCGTCCCCAAGGAGGAACCCAACTACATATGTCAATGCTACCATGAAATAGCAAAGAGACAAACAAATTATGGGTCTCTCCGGATATCGGAATCTCTTCATGTCAACAACGAACGTAAGAACCGTGAAAAGTGTAGATATCATACACAAAACAGCCCATGTACCTATCCATATCCTCGAAAATTTCCGCTCTTCGTCTCTAAAGAACATACCATAACAAGGTAATCCGCAGTTCTTTTCCTTCTTTTTTCCAACTCGAACAATATAGTCGAGTCCTTTAGGAACCCGAAATTCTGCAGGACAAACAAATTCCTTACCTGAAGACGGTTTATTCTCAAAGCTACCATGAGGAAATGGTGAAGAAGTAGCCGAGCGGCTAGACTTTTCAGTGTCATTCTGACCGACACAAAGTTCTGCTCCTCCAGCTTCTGGAAACTTTTCACATTCCAGAGTTTCAGGCCAGCGGAATCCAAACTTATTCATCAACCCTTCACAACCATTCCGTGCTGACTGACACAGGGAGCGACAGGGGGGAAGAGGGTGCGGCAAGATGGTGCAAACAGGAGTGTACATAGAGCACAGGAAGAACTGTAAATCTGGACTACACTTTACCTTCACTAATGGGAAAAACTGATGAACTTCGAGGCCGGCATCTTCTTGTTTCTGGTGGTTAAGCAGGTTTGGCATCATGGTTTGGTTATATTCTATATCTTTACACAGAGGAACTGTAATAGGTTCACACAGATCATGCTGAGGAATGGGATTTAGATCGTGATCTGACACTCGTGTGTTTAACACTTGCGCCTGAACTTGCCGCCGTCCATGTTGGAACGCTACGCTGAGGCACACGGCCGTAAGCATCATCACCACCGCACGAGCCATGGACGAGAGACAGTGTACACAATGCGCAGCACACACCACACACACACTGGCGAGCCGGTTATATCATCGTGCAGTAGTTTCTTTTATAGATTTCTTTTTCATAACATAATCCATAAATTCTATGACTAATGTTCACTGCAAATGTCCATACCATCGAATCCGCACACCAGCGAAGACTTCTTACCTTCGCTCCGTGTGATTTCGGTGTCACAATGGCGCATACTGTCTGCCACCACGCTGAGGCTAAAAGTCGTAATGATTGGCTGGCGATTCTTATCTCCTCAGTTATGACGTCAGACGCCAGCTCGTCTGCTTTGGCGCCATTTCAGCTAGATACATAAGCAGACGAGTTCATAAAGATCTCACTTAAAAATAACTCTTCGAAAAAAAAACGACCATCTCTGGCATCTCGACTCTAGTTTCAATAGCCTGTGCATAATCGTAATTACAAATATCGATTTTCATATAATGCATAAGAGGAAAACAACGTAGTTCCGATGATAAAGTACTTACCAAAGCAGAGTAAAACGCTTCTGAATCTATGATATCCCATAAAGTCCGGCTGTCATTACGAAACTCCTGAAATAAATAATCATTAATTTTTAACCGATATTTTTTGTTATATGTATATATACTGAATGAAAATATTTTGTGCGTAGCAAATCGAAAACTAACAGTTCGTCGTCATACTTTTTTTTTAGTCTTCACTAAAGATAAATTATAGATGTGTAAATAACGTATTTCTTTATGCCATTAGTAAGTATTGGTGTCTGTTACAGGAAGAAGAGGGCTGAGCTTATATAAATTGAAAACAAAGAGGGCTGAGCGATGGAGAGAAAAAAAAAAGGATGTTGCTTTTTAGAGAAACTACACAATAGATTACCGACGTTCTGTCCACAGCCAGGAATCGACGTTAGACTTAAACGTTATAAATCCGTAAACTTATCACTGGCCCACCGGAGATAACAGAAAGAAGCAAACAAATGGTGAAGAAAAATTAAATACAAACAAGTAGAAATTGTGGTAAGATAAATAGCTCTCGTCTTTATGATTTACAACTTGCTTTAACAATTCACTCGACAAAGAACATATTCATGGGTGTCAAACAGTGTTGTGTAGTGTGTACACAAGTATAACTTTGTTCGGGGGGGGGAGGGACAACGTGATACTATTTATGTGTATACGTACAAGATAATTTTTTGTTCTTTCGTATTGAACATAAAGTTGCACAATATGTTATCTGCTATATGCCCATAGCAAGAATCAAACCTCGAATTTTGGTGTTATAAGCCTTCACTTATCACCGAGCCACTGGCGAGAGCATATATGTATAGTAAAACTAATAATATGGTTATTGAAAACAGCATGAGTAACAAACCTTTTAAACGTACTCTCGAATCCCAAAAAACAACAGAGCTCAGACAAATAACAGGAACAAGCAACTAATTAAAACTTAATATATCACCTATTTTCAAACTACAGCAGACAAATATCTGAAATTAAATCGAATTGGCATAACTTACCAGAAGTTAGTTATAAAATAGACCGTTAAAACAGCACAAACTCGAAAAGATGTGATTTAAACAGAAAGCTGTTAGACAGTTCTAAATAATAATAAGTATGAGCATTTCTAAGACTCGTTAATAAATTTGATAGGGAATTGGCTCTTCGTACCTGACAGGTTCTGTTTAAAGACCCGGATCAGATTAGAATGGCAAAATGTTAGTAATAATTAGTCCACTCATGCATCTTGCGGTACTTAATTAACTCAGAATTCGTTGATTTATTTTTAAAAACGTAAGGATTGAGTTACCTTCTATAACGGTGAGAAATATTAACTTCCGATGTGACTCAGAGCAAGCCACTTTTTCAAATAAAAATCAAAGTTAGCCCGGTAATGAGTATAACTAATTAACTATACTATTTTTACGATCTTCGTTATAATGCACTGTTTCGTCAGTTGAGTGCCCTTGCTATTAACGGTAGTTTCGGTCTCAATGTTTGTCTATATTTGTAGAAAGATAATTAAATGAAAATGATCTTTCAGTGTACATAACACGTGCGAGGACCACACACTATATTGGTAACAAGCCAAGCAAATACACTTGTATAAAGCTAAACTGCCTCATATGCTTCACGCAAAGCTTTAAAAAAAATAACGGTTTGTTTGTTTTGAATTTCGCGCAAAGCTAGACTAGGGCTATCTGCGCTAGCCGTCCCTAATTTAGCAGTGCACGACTAGAGGGAAGGCAGCTAGTCATCACCACCCACCGCCAACTCTTGGGCTACTCTTTTACCAACGAATAGTGGGATTGACCATCACATTATAACGCCCCCACGGCTGAAAGGGCGACCATGTTTGGTGGGACGGGGATTCGAACCCGTGACCCGCAGACTGCGAGTCGAGTGCCCTAACCACCGAGCCATATAACTGGTTGTTTAGCATAGAAAAATGAAATCATCCTACCATTAACGAGTAGCGTTCGCACAATCTTCGGTTTCTCAGCATCAGTTTGAAACTTGCCCTTGAAAATATGTGAAACATGTGGGCTCAGTAATCTTCTAACTCTACTTTATTTTTTAACTCATCTAAAATAAGTCTAAGCAGTTTTAACATCTCCCCTTCAAGTAGAATTAGCTAAAGTGTTTCACTTCAAGAATCATGCTTAGCTGTCTCGACATCTTGCCCCCCATTGGCACAGCGGTATGTCTGCGGACTTACAACACTAGAAACCGAGTTTCGATACCCGTGGTGGGCAGATCACAGATAGCCCATTGTGTAGGTATGTTGATTTTCAAGAACTCTATACAATACTTTAAACCAAGAATAATTATTAATATATTTAAGTTCAAATAAAATACTTACATACACTGACACGTTTTGTTCCCCGCTGGGTCAGCGATAAGGTTAAGACGCTAAAATCTGAGGCTCGATTCCCCACGGTAGACATAACGTAGGCAACCTTTTGTATAGCTTAACAAAAACTGATATATTCTACCATTTTATTCGCTCTTTCCATTACAGCCAAGAACTTGGCAGAAAACTAAATCAATGATATTTCTTCTATAAAAATTTTGTTCACAAGAGCTTGTATTATGAAATTACAATTTCATTCGCGTCTACCCTATATAATTTACCACGCTCTTCATCATAAGTTAAGCATAGACTAAATGAAAAACCTACCCATCAAAAATTTAATAAACATATTTCTTTAATATTGTATTGACAATGACCTTAAATAATAAGCCTCAACATCTTATTAACCATAGTCATCAAATTAAGAAGCGTGTAATTGGGGTCAGTATTTTAGCAAATAATTTTTTTCTTCAAGAGGTTTAATTAAACTAGATACCACTAAACCAACTCTAACCGGGAAACAACCTCAGTCTTCTTCTTACTAATAACACCAGTGCTTTGACACTTGAGGTTAACAAGCATTCAACAATTCTCCAAATTTATTCCTTTTTCAATTAACTTTTTATTTCTTTCTCTCTCTCTCTCTAAACTGAAATGTTCAAGTCAGAAACAACCACGAATAATAACATTCCTGTGGTTGAATACAGGCGAAAATTATAAAAACATGATTGAACATTTCCTTTCACGTAATATACAGTTTGTATTTTTAATTTATCATATTTTGGAATTTAATTTACCCTTCTCTTCAGAGAAATTCTAATAAAATCTTTACAATGAAAATAAAAAAGTTCCAAGTCTGACTTTTCCGCATACTTAGTATGAAATGTTTATAATAAATAGCTGATATTTATACCAATAGATGGCAGTATACTTTAGCCGCATAAAATATTTACACTTTTAGTATCTATAAACTACTATGAATAGAATAAATACAAGAAAAGGTCCAAGGTAAGCATGTGAAGTTGTAATGGTACTATATGTTTAATTAAAATAAATCAATTCAACTTTCCGTTCTATAACTAAAACAACGTTTTTGCGTTTTAGAGCATTATTTCAAGATGTTTTTGCCCATTTTTTATTTGTTCTTATTTAAGAGCTAGTTATTGTCATTTATACTTATCTATTTCTACTTCTTTTTTCTCCATATATATATATATATACTGAATTTAATTTATGTTACTTATAACCAATGTCCTGTATGCTTGTTATACTTTTTCTGCATTCATTTTTACATCTCATACACCAAATGTTGTTGTTTGTTCAACAGCGCAATCAAACCAATTATTCTAATTTATGTATTATATAGAATTTTATCTATATTTCTTCTTCTTCAAACAATATTCGTTGTCAATAATATAACAATTCTATTTTTGTTTCTACAGTTAAATCTCTGGTATCTCATTGTCTTATATGACGTTGTTATTAAGAATATGTTACGCTGAAATTAATACTCATACACACTATTATAAAGAGTTTTTTTTTGTGGAAAAAAATATTATTATCTAATGGGAAGAAGAAAGGTAAGTCAAAATAAAGCGTATATATTTCAAATGGCGCATTCAAAATCACCAGCAAATATTTCAGTTTATAGAACTATTAAAGTTGGATTAAAATATCAGAGGATCGAACATATAATATTATTCGGAAATGAAGATGGCGTTAACAAAAAACTGTACGAGTTATGTTTAGTCTTACCAATTCTAATTTGTTGTCTTCTCTTGTGTATCTTTAAATTTACCCTAAAGCTTAAGGTAAAATTATCTTGTTTTTGTTACATGTGACAGAAACAAGAGTTCAATAATTTATTTCAGCTGCATGGATTTTTTTTACGGAATATTATCTATCAAAAATTTTTGTCCAAATAATGAAAGACTACTTAGCTCGACTCGTGACTGAAGGGCTTGTGAAATCATAATTAGACTATTTACTAACTCTTTAAGCCTCAGCTATTACTAATTCAAAAAGTTAATTTCTTCGCTCTTTACACCGACTCTTTAAAAGAGCGTAACTTCATTTTTTTCATATTTCTATGACATATTTAATTAGTTTAGGTTTATTCTTGCGTTATGAAAGATCCTAATTATAATGTATTTCTATTTAGGGCAAATCAGGCTAATTCTATTTTTCGCCCTACTGACCAGAGATAAAGCAGCCAGGAATCAGCGCCTACCATCCACGATAAGTATTGATATTTTTTGTGAAATCACATTTCCTGAATATCTCCTAGCGGTTAGATGTGAAATATATGAAGCACTGACAACTTTTGATAATTTTTGTAAAAATATTTGAAAACTAGTGTAATACAG